GGTTAAATTTTTTAAAATGATATAATTTTTTTTGTTTTAGTATTTTGAAGTTGACCAATTGTTACTATAAGCAATTATAGATGATCTGCATCGTAGCAGTAATGGTTATTTGGCTTAGCCGGCTAATTTTTTTCTACTGGCAAACATCACTAGTTTTAAGTCTATTATTGTAAAAATAAGAATGCTTTAATGATAAAATAAATATCAAAACTTTTTGTAGGGCAAAAGTCTAGTTTATTAAGGCATTTAATAAAACCCAAGTCAGATGCTAATGTTCTGAGTTTGGAATTCATGATAGCTTTCTTTAACTCCTAGGAGGTGATTTTACAAAAACCACAACAATTTATCATTAAATTTTGTAGTCACCATCTCACTTGTGCGGAACTTCTGAAAGAAGCATTGCTCCAGAACAGATATTCGTACCAGCCCAAAGACATTACCAGAGATTCTAATCGGTGAAGAAACAGTAGAGTGGAATTTAGCATGTTTCTTCTTCCTGACAATAAAGTTTATGTTATGATGTTTGGAAAGAAGAAATAGTTAATGCTTATGCATCTATTCTGGAATTAATAGAGAAATTCCCCGTTTAGATTTATTATTGTATATAGAAACAAACACGTTCATTATTAAAAAAACTTCCTCTTTAGATGATCGATCCTCTAGGAATATAAAATAGAACTAGAATTAATAATAACAACAGAGCAGTTACTTAACATATATAGCAAGAATACAATAAAATATAAAATGATAAAAGGTGACAAGATCAAATGTTAAAATCACAAAGCAACAGTGCGAATTCTATTTCAAATATTCCATGATCAAATTGATAACATCAAATCTATTATCACAATGAAATTGAGAGAAGGAAAAAGGTTAAGTTATAGATTATGTTGCAGTTTGTTTATTAGTTTATTTTTCTAAATTCAATTAAAGAATCTTCGATATAATAACCGTGATGGACCATCACGATGTAATTATGTTAATATAGAACAATATATATATATATATATATGAATTCTTTTAAAAATTAAGAAAATAAAAGACATTGAAAAAAGCTATTATCATCACAATGTAATTATGTTAAGAATTAGAAATTAGGGATTGGTTCAAAGCCAAACCTCCAATGAGTGAGGAATTTGGTTCTATTTTCTTTTGTTCCTGTTTCAGCTCCATCAGTTCTTGTTCCTTCAGTCCCAGTGTCTTCTTAACTTCGACATTCACCAGTTTCTCTGATTCCTGTTTCTCCCATGCGAATTCTAGCTCATCCTGATTCTCCGATGCGAAGTTTAGATCCCACAGAATAAATTTCATTTTAATGTCCTCCTCTTTTGAAGAGTTTTCCACTTTTGAAGAGTTTTCCACTTTTGAAGAGTTTTCCTCTTTTGTGGAGTTTTCCTCTTTTGTGGAGTTTTCCTCTTTTGTGGAGTTTTCCTCTTTTGTGGAGTGGAAAGTAGAGAAGTAATTATATGGATTGTAAGTATTGTAATTCAAGTTAGACAAGTAATTATACGGATTGTAAGCATTGTAATTCAAGTTAGACAAGTAATTATATGGATTGTAATTCAACTTTAACCATTTTAGTAATCCATGCTTTTTAGAAGAACGGTGAGAATAAACAATATAATTTAGGAATCCTGTCTCAAGTATGTCGATCAAGACGTGACCTTCGATTTTCATACATTCAATACTCTTATTATCACTAATAGAAAGTCCTTTTTCAAGGTCGTTCAGTTCTTTCGGTTTGAATCTAATGATTTCATTTTGCTTTTTGAAACTTCCACCAGCATAATTGTGAAATGCAATTCCATCACAACCTATTTCATTTCTAATTCTATCGATTTCATTCTTAATTTTTTCCTTAATTTCCTTGGTTCTTCCCTTATATTCTTTTTTTGTTTCTTCCTTCTTTTTTTTCTCTTTTGCTTTCTCATATTCTTTCATTAAATCATCGTATTTTTTAGTTATTTTCTTCGTTAAGTCATCGAATCTTTTCTTAGCTTCCCTATATTCTTTCTCTTTTTCCTGGTATACTTTATTAATTATATCCCTATCATTTTTTTCTTTAATGAAATAGTATTCTCTCTTTATTTCCTCAAATTCAATCATTTTTAACTCATATTCGAACATAGCCATTTTATCTCTTATTCTCTCTTGCTTATCACACAAATCTTTAAAATTTGTATAACCATGTGTATGACCATAACTGCGTTTCCTCATTTGTTGCTTGTATTCTTTCAATGTTTTCTCACAATCATTTAATTTTTTCTCGTATTCATTTTTTTTCATCTCGTGTTTTTCAATTGTTTCCTTGGATTTTTTCGCCGGCTCATCATCTTTCATTATTTCATCATTTTCATCTATCTCGTGTTTTGCAATTGCTTCCTCGGATTCTTCCACCGGTGTATCTTTGTATTTAGCCATTATTTTGTTCACCTTATCTTTAATGTATTTTTCGCTCGCTTCCCGGTATTTTATCCTTGACTCAGCCTCTATATTTATCCTTTGTTTATCGTATTTATTTTGCTTTGCGCTAATGTATTCTCTCAATTTTTCCACATAATCTTTCTTTGTTTGTTCATCTTCCTTATGTTCATTCTCGTATCTTTCCGTTGCCTTTTTAATATCATTTAAATACTCCACTTCGTTCTGTTTTCCTTCATTTCCATCCTCATTCTCCATTTCATCCCCGAGCATTTTCATTATCTCTTTATCCTTTTTTCTCATTGCATCCTCATAATTTCTCTTTTTTTCCTTGTATTCTTTCTTTATTTTTTCGTATTTCAATTCTTCCTTTTTTTCATTGTACTCCTCCATTCCTTTATTCTTATCAATTATGTTCACATAACTCATTAGCTTCACGTAATTATTATCGTAATCATTACTCATTGCCTTCTCGTAATCATCAGTTGCCTTCTCGTAATCTTCCTTTGCCTTCTCGTATCCTTCCCGTGGATTCTCCATTTCGTCTTCCTTTATTTTCTTGTATTCCCATATTTCTTTCTTGTATTCATTCTTTTTACTTACATATTCAACTTTTTTTTTCTTAATTTCTTCCTTGTTTTCAGTCCCTCCTTTTAATTTCTTATATTTACCTTTTATTTCCTCGTATTCTTTCTTTTTTCTTTCATATTTTTTTTTTTTTCCTTTAATTTCTTCCTCGTATTCTTTCTTTTCTTTCTCGTACTCAGTCTTCTTCGCTACCTTTTCATTTCCTAATTTCTCATATTCATCCTTTATTTCCTCGTATTTTTTCTTTTTTTGTTGATATTCTTTCCACTTTTCCTCGAATTCTTTCATTTTTCCCTCGTACTCAGTCTTCTTTGCCACCTTTTCGTCTTCTTCTAATTTCTCATATTCATCTGCTATTTCCTTGTATTTTTTCATTTTTTCATCTGCTATTTCCTCGTATTCTTTCTTTTTTTTATCTTTTATTTCCTTATATTCTTTCTTTTTTTCATCATATTCTTTCTTTATTTCCTCGTACTCAGTCTTCTTTGCCACCTTTTTATTTCCTTTTAATTTCTCAAATTTATCCTTTATTTCCTTGTAATTTTTCTTTTTTTCTTGATATTCTTCCCACATTTTCTCGTATTCTTTGATTTTTTCATCTTTAATTTCCTCGTAATCTTTCTTTTTTTTCTCGTATTCTTTCTTTATTTCCTCATTCTCAGTCTTCTCACCTCCTAATTTTTCATATTTATCCTTTAATTCCTCGTATTTTTTCTTTTTTTGTTGATATTCTTCCCACTTTTCCTTGTATTCTTTCATTTTTTCTTCTGCTATTTCCTCGTATTCTTTCATTCTTTCATCTTTTATTTCCTCATATTCTCTCTTTTTTTCATCGTATACTTTCTTGTCCTTGTCCTTAGCCTTCTTTTTATTTCCTTCTGGATTCTCATATTTATTCTTTATTTCATTGTAATTTTTCTTTTTTTCTTGATATTCTTCCCACTTTTTCTCGTATTCTTTAAATTTTTCATGTGCTATTTTCTCGTATTCTTCCTTTGATTCCTCGTACTCAGTCTTCTTCGCCATCTTTTTATCTCTTAATTTCTCATATACATCCTTTATTCCCTCGTATTTTTTCTTTTTTTGTTGATATTTTTCCCACTTTTTCTCGTATTCTTTAATTTTTTCATCTGCTATTTCCTCGTATTCTTTCTTTTTTTCCTCATACTCAGTCTTCTTCTCCCCTTTTTTATCTTCTTCTAATTTCTCATATTCATCCTTTATTTCCTCGTATTTTTTCTTTTTTTGTTGATATTCTTCCCACTTTTCCTCGAATTCTTTCCATCCTTTATCATCTATTTTTTCGTATTCATCATTTATTTCCTCATATTCTTTCTTTTTTTCCTCATATTCTTTCAACATTTTCTTGTGTTTTTTCCTTTTTTTCTCGTACTCGTATTCATTCTTTTTGTACTCGTATTCAATCTTCATCTCCTTCTTTGCACTTTCTCCTGCTTTCTCGTATTTACTATTTATTTCCTTGTATTCATTCTTGATTTTCTCGTATTTGTAAAATTCCTCGTATTTTTTCTTTTTTTGCTGCTGATATTCTTTCCACCCTTTCTCGTTGTCTCTCATCTTTTTCTCGTGTTCTTTGATCTTTTTCTCGTGTTCTTTCATCACTTCCTTGTATATTTCTATTTTATTGTACTCATCATTCATTTCCTCGTGTTCATCATTTATTTCCTCGTCTTCTTTCTTTTTTTCCTCATATTCTTTACACATTTTCTTGTATTCTTTCTCGTGTTCTTTCTTTTTCTCCTCATATTCTTTCCACATTTCCTTGTATTCTTTCTTTCTTGTCTCGTACTCGTATTCTTCCTTTTTGTACTCGTATTCAATCTTCATCTCCTTCTTTGCACTTTCATCTGATTCCTCGTATTTACTATTTATTTCCTCGTATTCATTCTTGATTTCCTCGTATTTATTCTCATTGTAAATTTCCTCTATTTTCTCGTATTTATTCTTTATTTCTTGGAACTTTATAGTTTCTTTATCTTTTTTTTTTTTGTTTTGTATTTTCATTATATCCTTGTATAATTTTTTTGTTTCGATGTATTTGTTCTTTTTATCATTGTAATCTTCCTCGTATACATTCGTTACTTTCTTGATTTTACTTTCATCAAAATCAAGTTTAACAAAGTACATAGATTGTTGAACAGGCATAACGTAGTAATATTGCTTAGACTTGGGCTTCTTAGTGTTTACTTCTTTATCTAATTCATTAATCTCATCCTCATCCTTACCCTTTGAATTACTCGTTTCCTCTACATTTTTTTCTGTGGATTTTGTATAAACATAAACATAATTACCCGTAGAATCAACTGAATATTTTTCCAAATTACTAGGACATATAACACTGTCGCCATCATACTTATCCTTATTTATATTAAAACTTTTAACATTATAAATATCCATAATGCCAACTTCTGCGTAAACTTTTGTTTTATCTTCAATATCGTTATCCTCTTTGACATGTTCAACACCTTCTTTATTTTTATAAATGTATTTAACTATTCCCTGATTAGAAAAGAATGATGCGATTGAACGAGTCAAAACTGTGGTAAGAATGGTGTTGAAAACTGTGCTGATAATTGAAGGAGTACAAAACCAGTAATATTCAAAAAATATTTGGCCTAAAGAAAGGGCAGCGGTAAGAAAGAAAGTTTTCTTACGAATAAAACCTTGGTAATACCTTCTTTCATCTTCAGTAAGTTTACCAGTGTCTTTTCTGAAAATCCTTTTTATCAATTTTATGAAACGTAGTTCTAAATTAGGAAAGTAATACGAGGTAATTAAAGTAGTGGTTGAGATGAAATAAGAAATCTTCATGAGATAATTTATGGTTAGCAAATCAATTGCTCTTAGAACTTCAACAAGACCAATTTCCCCTTCTCCTTGTATGTATAAAAGTACTTTAAAGACATACACGAATTGCAAAATAGTATAAATTATGACTTCAAATGAATGGATAAAGTAAATCCAAATAATGACGGCTTTTAATCTCTTGTAGAAACGCCTGTAGAGTTTATTATTTGGATTGCTAAGAATTTCCCGTTTTTGGTGAAAATCATATCTAAGATACCCCAGTACAGCCAGAACAGCTACAGCAGTTACAATAAAAACACAACAAAGTACAAAGAGTTCATGATTGTAATTATTTCCAACTGGTCCAGAATCAGACCCAACAATTACAACTGCATTTTTTACTTGTAAAAAAGTTTTTACAACACCACTCTTGCTTGAAGCATCTTGCAATAATCTTGCTAATAAAGCCAACCAGACTGGTTTGGCGAAGTTGTACCACGAAATAATGAGTACTAAGGATGTCCCCAAAATAACAATATCATCAAGTAGACATGTCGTTATATATCCAAACACGGATGTTGTACCATAAACAGCTACAGTAAAAAGAAGGCCCATAATAGGAAAGAACGTTCCTAATTGAGAGAAAAAGCTGGGATATATTTTAGCGTCATTATAAGTTCCAACAACAGGACAAGTTAAACCACTTTTTGATTGAGTTGGATCATTTATCGGAAACTGTATTATGCTGTTAGGAATAAGACTGTTTTGATTTTGTTCAGCCGGACTTTTATTTTGTGCGTTTGATGTAGAGACAAAACAAAATAAAAGACAAAATAAATATAAAATAAAAAGTTTTTGATAAAACTTGAATTGAAGAATTTTAAAATTCATTATAAAAGAACGCCCTTGAATAATCTATGAATAGATTATTTCAAAAGTTAAAAACATTTATAAAAAAATGATTTTGCACTTAATTTATAAAAAAATTGACGATAAACATTCGTTGATTGGATGAAGAACCATTTTTAACAATCTGTTATCATTTATTATCACTTAAATTAGATGCGTAGAACAATAGATCTTTCTCGAGAATTTAATATTGCTCGGCTTTCATTATATCAGCATGTAGAATAAACTTCTTGCAAAAAATATCTTTGTAAACAATAATGCAACGAAGGTTATACTGAATGAGAATTTTTTTAATAATGCCAAATATATACAATCCATTTCCGCCAAAAAGCATTATAAAACGTTAAGTTGATTGTTAGTCAAGAGGCGTTTGTCGACAACATTAATTTTACTATTTATTTTATATTTGGCATTTGAAAAAAATCCGGAAAGGTAATATCAACGTTGTGGTTCCATTAATGGCAGCATAAAGAGCATTTAGACGAAATAAATAAAAGATGAATCTCATGAAGCTGCAAATTTGATTTGTTGGTTGATAATAATTGCCTTTTCCGCTTTTTTATTGTATCATACAAATTTGGTAATTTTTTTGTGAACATCAATAATTCAATTTATCCAAAATTATCTTGTGAAATGTTATGTTGTGAAAGAAGCACAACATTCTTTCTCTTTTGAAAAAGTAAAATCTTGAGAATCCATATTAAAGCAATTCAAACAAACGGGTATTCCAAATGTTAAATTTTTTTTTGACTTTCGAAAATGGAAACAAATAAAATTTTTTGGCTAATATATTATTAGTTAATTTATTATACATATACAGTAATTCAAATTATCTCCACATCTGCAACTTTGTTTTTCTGAAATACATATATATATATATAAACTAATTAAAAGAATAGCAGTGGTCGATCTATTTCACTGTTTATCATGTATGCAGCCCAATTCCTCCCAGACACAGTAGACGTTAAATGACAACGTTTATTGATTCAGATGCTGCATCTCAAAAGTCCCTTCATCGATTGATAAGGTTGATTTATAATTTGACGGAAAAGGAATTATCAATTATTCAAGCGTGTATATTATATTGTAGAAATTGTTTACATAATTATACTACCTTCAGGTAATTTGTCCAGTATTTTTGGGTAATGCTCGTCAACATTAAGAAAAAAAAATTTGCATGTATAAAAATAATTTAAGATCTAAAATCAAATTATAATATCCAACAACATTTCTTCAATTATCAAGTTTATTCCTCCCAGGTGATCTCAAAATGTGTGTTATGCTTAAAAATTAAATTTACGTCACAAGATTGAAAAAATTATTGTGCCAATTTTGGGTTTGACGTAGTAAACTTGTGCTTTAATTTCGTGGTAAGGTGATATATTAATTCTATGATTTGATTTTTCTTATATTTTCATTCTTACAAGACTAAATGGGACTAGGTGTGCAATGTTCATTAAAGGTGCCAAATTTAGCGCCACAGATATTGGAAAATTTCAGTAGGTTGTTACATGGATGTGATATTAATGGCCAGTGCGCTCACCCTCTTCATTCGATTATATAAAGAACTGATTTCCGTATGCTATTGAAAGTGAAGTAAACTTAATTTTCAAAAAAAAAAATACAAAAATAAAAAAATAAAAATCGAAATGAACAAATTATTCAACATTTTCTTTTTTCTTATTCGTTTCGTTTTCCCAATTGTCATTTACTCACAATAGCATAGTAATAGTGGAAGTTTGTTGTTACACGAAATGTTATACAGAACCCATTGCTCCTGAAACTTCACCAGTATACAATTGTTACCCATCTAAGTTCAGATCCAATTCAAATCCAGTTTATCACTATACTTTTTATTGCCAGAATGTTTGGCGTGTATTGTAAAGCTACATTGCACAATATAAAAAATTAGTGTAACATTTTAAATTTCCATTATGCTACTCACAATCATGTGATATTTATATTAATTATAATTTAACGGTTTTCTTCGACACATACACAGTAGTTACCTTCAACAATCCATTAGGCAATGCCTCCAACCAATTAAATAATACCTTCAACAACCAATTAGATTATACCTCTAACTAAGTTGTTATATGGTTTGCTCAAAGACCTCCCATTGCTGCGCCATTGGCCAAATAGGACTTCACGTGATTTTAATTTTAAAAACTATTTCTTGCTGCCAAATTTAGATACGATAGTCAATAGCTAGTTTAAATTTAGTAATAATTTCCTAAATTTAGAAATGATCATAGTAAACAAATTCCTTACGAACATAGTAGAGTACATGTTTTAAAAAAGAATAGAACTCTATAACAAATAATTTTTTTGAGAAAATCTCTCTATTACATTAAAACTAAAGACATATTATATCAAATAATAGAGCTATTTTTTAAAAAGGTAGGACAAAAAGTGAATTCTATACTTTTAAAAATTGCCCAAAATTTAGGAGATCTCTAGACCGAGCCAACTATAGGAAAAACTTCCACCTAAAAATCGAAGGCTTCAGTAATAACGTCTTCATAAAAGAAGTTAGCAAAATTAAAGTTATTACTTTTTATAATGGTGCTGATATTGATAATAACATTGTAGATTTCTGTTCAACCTTCACCGTAATATGTTTACTTGACAATAACAATTATGAAGATTATAATACTACTACTACTACAACTTCACCTTTCATTGATAATCCCTATTACCCTTACAATTTCAATTATACACAAACCACTTTCATTCCCCGCCCAACTGTTAATATAACTGATGCTGAATTTCAACAACTTATTCTTGGTATATTATCATTTTATCATTTGTCTATATTAGTTCATTTGTTGACTTGATTTTCATTTACTAATATAATTGACAATTATTATTTAGTTACTGATCCTAATGACAATCCAGTAGGGTGCGCAAATATGAATTTTACTGTTATTTCAGCAAAGTTAACAACAGAGAAGCCAACAAAAGCCAGTAATCCCTAAAGCGTAAAAACTTCCTTTCCTATTTGTTTAAATCTCTAAAGTTATTTTTAAAATAAATTTTTTTTTTCATATGTATTTATAATTTTTTTTTAATAATTACAATTCTCGCTTTTCATGCATGCAAAAAAGAATCAATTCGTATTAAAAAAATTTTTGTTGCTTAACTAGATTTTAATTCATAGAAATTAGTAGCCATAAATGTAAAAAGTCAATTCATACCTTTCATTCAAATTTCTTTCCGTGATATTATTACCCGTAAATGAGTTGAGCGCTCCCTAAATCTGCTGCGTTCCTTAGACTTTTGCAACTAATAAAATTTTTAGAGCCAAACTAGGACTTCTAAAACAAGAGTCTAACCTAATTACAGTTTATTCTACGCCAGGCTACAAATGTTACTTTTTTTCAAATTTTAAGATTTTCTTCTAACTGTTGTGCAGAATAAAGCAAACTTAACAGCAATAGTAATAATTGTTTCAAATTGTTCTTTACAAAATCGTTTATAATCACTCGAAAGGTTCTATTGGAAAATTTTGACTTTTATTCATAATTATTCATATTATTTTTAGAATCATATGAACCAAATTTCAATATAATGCTAAAGGTAACAAATCAAAAATTTTATTATCTATTAATATGTAAAAAAAATATATTTATCAAGTTGAATATAGCATGGAAAATTAGTAATACTCCTAATTTATTTTACACTTAAATATATATATTCAAAAAAAGATTTATTTTTATCAAAAGATTTACATATTTTAATTATCAGATGATGGTTTAGAAAAAGAAAAATAACTAACAATAATAATAAATCATATACACAACTAGAAACAAACATAGAGGATCTATCGCCACTACCTTTTGAATTCCTTTTGGTTTAATTAATTAACATCCACATACACATCATTATGTATAGAATATCTGATCTTTATCACTTTACATTCGTTTCCCCTTTTTCTGATATCATTATAATAATATTACTGTATTACCTTTTAATTTAATTAATTTTAAATAAACAATCTTACAAGCATAGAGTCTAACTCTTGCTGTTATGATAAATAATTGTGTCTGCATAGTGTTGGTTTCCAAAACTAGAGAGTTTCGCAACTGTGCGAAAGTCAAAAGGTTTCGCCATAAGTCGAAACTAGTTTTGATTTTTGACTATTGACTTTTGATTTAGTTTTGACATATAACTTTTAATTTTAGTTTTGACTTTTGTCTCTTCAAAATAGTTTTGGCGACCAACACTAGTCTGCATCACATCTTGCTTGAATGGTTCAATTAAATCTTTTATTATTGTTGTGATATGTACCAGGAATGATTAAGATTATAATAGTGTGTGATAGTAAATTGTGAACCAACTATACATGGGATGGTAATTGTTTTGCCAAAAACTTAATACATGATTACGGAATTAATTACGAGCGATGAAATTTACAAGTGATGAAAATACTCATTGTAGAAGAAATTAATTATTGTGATGTAAAATCCATAAATTTTACATGGGGAATTGCTATATTTCACCGATGGAGATTATTACCGCAATACTAATACATACTTAATTAAAAAAAAATTTTTCTATATTTATTATAATGTGACTCATTTTATGATAAATATTAAGCCTTACAGATCATCAAAAATAATTCAATTAACAATCTTCATATCAAATAGTATATAAAGTCAATGCCAAGGTTGGGTGACGAAAGTATTTTGGAGTGTAAAAGTATTTGGTCAAATGGGACACTTGTGACGAAAAGTGACGAAAAGTGATAAAAGGTAAGGTCAAATTGTGATAAAGATGACGAAAATATAAAATTCAATTTTATTTAGATTTAATTAAAACAAAAAACATTTTTTACATCGTAAATCATGTTTCTTGGTTGGATACTTAATTTTTGCACGCAAAATTTTAGTAGGAATTGCTGCTTCACATCTATTGCAGGTTTCATAACTTTCTTCAAAATCTGTAGAATCGTCTGATAATTCTGATTGTTGAAATGATTCTTCATTTACTATTTTAATGGAGTGTAACCATACATCAAACACAGGATGTCCTGTAGCTAATTCATGATTATTGTTAAATAAACTTTCAGATATATTACCTAATTTTAATGTTTGCAAATTCATATTATATGATGATGATTGAGAAGGAATTGGTGAATTGGGTAAATTGGAATTTGATATCATGAATTTTATTTACTTCATAATTTAAAATCTAGAAAATAATTGGTTTATTTTATTGTTTTGTCACTTTCGTCATTTCGTCATTTTCATCAAATTACTCAAAGTGTAAAAACCTTATTTCGTCACATTTATTTTCGTCGCCCAACCTGGTCAATGCTCTCTCCAAAAACCGAACTGCTCTTTATAATGAATTAAGGTATTGGTCCCGATTTTTTGTTAATTAATCTTGCTCTGTATATATAACGAACTGCTTTTGAAAAATCATGATAAATTTACATATAAAATGGCGCTCTCTATACCGAACTTTAATGTAACACAATAAAATAAAAATTTATTATTATTATTATTTGATACAAAGTATATTATGCCGACTTCTTTCTTTAACTATAACGAAAACAAAATTAATATCAACATTATACAAGCGATAAGAATACAATTGTTTATTAATTAATTGTTTACACACTACGTCTCTTTTGTTAAATCATTAATGAAAATAAAGAAAATAAATACCAATATATAAAATATCCGTATGCATTTTTTTTTAAAAAAAAGATATTTTAAAATTCAACCAAATGTCAACTAAAAGAAGAACTACTTTGACAGCTTTACAAAAGAAAGAGTTATGTTTGTTGAAACAAAGAGATCCAAATATTCCTAACGTTGAACTTGCAGGTATATATAATGTTGGAAAATCTACAGTAACTGAGATTTTAAAAGAAAAAGATAAATGGATTACTAATTGCAATTTTCATAATTATATGACTATAAATGTGATGATTGATCGACACTTTCTTTATAGTGAACGCTCTCTACAACGAACAAAAATTCTCGGGACTGGAGGTTCGTTATAGAGAGCTTTGACTGTACTGAAGTTTCACCGCATACAAATAAAACCGTTGTTTTACAAACCTCGTAAGTAAAATGTGTCTCATATTCAAATCTGGTTCTAAAATTTTAGCGATTAATTAATATGGTGCGCGAAGTCTATAACCACCATTTTGTACGTGATTTTGAAAGAATAGAAGTCCATTTCTGTCGATCCTTTTAAAAAATAACTCTTGTTATTTCATAGATTGTCAGAGAAGTTTTTTTCAAAATATTGATTGGTTATCGAGTTCTATTTTTTTTTAGTACATGTATCTTACTGTGTTCATGATGATTTGGCAGTAACATTTTTGTCTAAAATTAGGATAGTCTACAATTATCATTTCTAAACTTGGTATTGTGTAGCTGTAAAAAATCACTGCGTCAAAAATATTTAATCAAAAAGCTTTAAATTTGAAGAAACTATTGAATCTTATGGTCATAAAGTCATATTTTACCCCAAGTTCCACTGTAACTTAATTTTATTGAATTATTTTGAGGTGCAGCAAAATAATATACCCGTGAAAACCGTGATTATACCTTTAAGTCATTAGAAAAAAACTGTTCCATTGGCATTAAGTTCTGTTTCTCTCAAAAAAATTCGGAAGTTTGCTTGCAGGTCTTGGAGATTTATGGATGTTCATAGAAATGAATTGACAGGTCTAGAAGCTTTATATGCAGTAAAGAGATACAAATCTCATAGAAAAATTCCAAGCAATGTTATTGATAATTAAAATTGATAATAAATCAAATTAAGAAATTTTAAAAATCACATGACTTTATAAATTTTTTATCATCATTTTTTTGTGAAATTTGATGGTGTGGCACAATAAATAGCGGTTATAGACTTCGCGCACCATATTAGACGACACAAATAAAATTATTAGTTTCTTGAAATTACAGAAAAAAATTTTTATGCGGAAATTCATTTATTTTAAATTGGGTTTGGATTAGTGTTGGTCGCCAAAACTATTTTGAAGAGGTGAAAACTAAAATTAAAAGTTATATGTCAAAACTAAATCAAAAGTCGATAGTCAAAAATCAAAACTAGTTTCGACTTATGGCGAAACCTTTTGACTTTCGCACGGTTGCGAAACTCTCGAGTTTTGGAAACCAACATTAGTTTGGATTGCATCTTCTTTGTTGCAAAAAGCAAAAAAATGACATTATTCAGGCCAAGATATAGTCTATTTTATTAAACCCAAAACATATAAATAGGACAGCCATCTCTCTTTTTTTTTTTTTGAAAAACTTGAATATTTTCATGAAACAAAATCGGGTCTTAATCTTTATTATAATCCTATTGATGGATCTTCATATATTACAAATGTAACCAATTATCTCTGAATAAATATTTTTAAAAAAATGCACCTAGCATGAGCTACCAGCAAAGAGTTACATTCCCTCACTTGCTGGACTTTAATAACATATTTAAGCGAGTCACATGGGTTCACCATTGCATGTCTTACCCCCGAGACAAGTACTAGTAATGGAAAAATGTACTATATATTTCAAGTTGTGCATGGGATATATACAGATTACAACATTTCATTGGACAAATTCTATTCCATATTTTTATTGTAATCTAAAAAAATAAAAATTCAAAATAATTTAATAGAAAAATAGAGTTGATGATAGGTTGCAATCCAGATTTGCAAAATAAATGTATAGATGTGATCAAAGCATTTTTAGTAATAAACAAATAATAAATTCAATTGTAAATGCATAATTCTTTTCTTAAAAGTAAACCAATCAATGATCCAAAAAAAAACAGGACATATGATAATAATAGTAAAAAATGTTTTTTTAGCATTTTTAGTAATAAATAAATAAATAATTAATTAAAAAGTGTATTGTGTAGGAGACATACAAAATTTACTTAAAGGTAATCTACGAAATAACATGTTTATTGGGAGAAAGGTTGGGTAATTGCATGAAAGTAATTGTTTTTGAGCAAAGGCATAATTTTGAAATATTGATTTTATATAATGTTTATTAATAGGACATTGCCGCCTTTGATGTTAAAAGAGGAGATAAAAGAGTATGAAGGTTGACGTGTGACACAGGAAGCTGTAATATTTTTGTTGTTTAATTTTGTAAGAGGTGCTAGTGTCATTAATAATGGGCAGAAAGGGATCCCATAATGTCGATTGTAGTTGTTGTTTTAGTTGAATATATGTTATTTTACCCATGAGAGACGGATCATTAACTGGACAATGAAGTTTGTAATCCATTTATTGTCATCGTAGCTGCTAATAGTCAAACAGATTGTAAAGTTGTGGATGATAAATAGCAGAGTTGTGAAATACCTAGTTTATGTTTAAACAGTTTGGTTACATGTGAGGAGTATCTTCTGGTAGAAAGTGAAAAAATTGAATTGCTGCAAAATCTTTTAATTTATAAAAAATTTAAAATCGAGTTGAGTTTTTCTATAATTATTTTTGTATATGATCATTTATTTGTTATTGAAAGTCGTATTTTATTATTTGTTTTTCATGGATTATAATCACAGTTTGTAAAAATTAATCGGTTCACTACAAATTATGTTAACACGCTAGCAAAGAAGAACAACAATGGGAAGAAAAGGCATGTTTAAGAATATTTTAAATTATATGAATTTTGAGCAGTGAAAAATATGTGTTATTAAATGCGTATTTTAAGAATGTAACGAATTAAAGTATGTTTTAAGTATGTTTTAAGTAATGATATTATTAAAAAAAATTTCTTTTAACAATCATTTTACGTATGGAATTTTAGTACAGAACTCAGTAGCATTGACAATTAGTTGAGATGCATTACTTAGAATGACAAAAAAAAACATTCATTTGCTCTAAAAAAAAAATAATAATACAATATTTGTAGTAGGATAAAAGATAATAAGAAAGTAATAATAATAAAGGTTAAAATTCCTAAAATTCAAATAAAACATTCAATGTAATTCGAATGAATACTCAAATTCATAATGAATAAAATAAATAACCTTAACAATGAGTGAACCATTAAATAGTAATGATGGCAGCAAATTAGGAAATTGAATAGTAAATAATAATGATAATGATGATAATAATAATACCGGAAATCTTAGTAATATTAATATCCGAAAAGTCTCCAATCAACTAGGATTTATTAACAAGAGAAAGAAATAGATTTGGTAAAAATGATAAAACAACCAATTTTCAGTGAATTTATAAAAAGTTTGTAGTTTGTCTAGCAAATTATTTTATCCGAGTCTTTCTTAGTTGGCTTAGAGTTGTTTGGCTTGGTCAGCTAATTTTTTTCTATTGGCCAACATCACTAGTTTTAAGTCATTATTGTAAAAATAAGAATGCTTTAATGATAAAATAAGTATCAAAAATTTTTGTAGGGTAAAAGTCTAGTTTAATAAAACCCAAGTCAGATGCTAATGATAGTTTCTTTAACTCCTGGGAGGTGATTTTACAAAAACCACAACAATTTATCATTAAATTTTGTAGTGACCATCTCACTTGTGCATAAGCATTGCTCCAGAACAGATATTCGTATCAGTCCAAAGACAATACCAGAGTCTCTAGTAAATGAAGAAACAGTAAAGTGCAACTTAACACTTTGCTTCTTCCTGGCAATAAAGTTTGTGCTATCATGCTTGGACAGAAGGATTGGTTAATGCATACATGCTGGAATTAACAGAGGAATACCCGTTTAGATTTATTATTATTAAAATCTTTTTCTCTTTAGGTGATCATAAAATAGATTAGAGAAATTAATAATAATAACAGAGCAGTTCAGTTACTTATCATATATAGAAAGAAAATAAGTATACAATAAAATATAAAATGCGTAGGAGGAGGACAGGGTTAAATGTTAAAAAGCCATATAGTAAAGGTGCGAATTCTATTTTAAATATTTCAAAAATCTAATTGATAATAAAATCATAATTTTATCGGATTAGCTTATATGATGATCACCATTAAATTATAGACTACGTTGTAGTTTGTTTATTAGTTTGTTTTTCTAAATTCAAATAAAGAATCTTCAATACAATATAACCGTGACGTACCATCATGATATAATTATACTAATACATATATATGAATTCTTTTAAAAATTAAAAAAAATAAATAGACATTGAAAAAAGCTACTATTATTACATAAGAATTATACTAATATTAATTAGAAATTAGGAATTTGTTATGTCATGGAGTTTTTTCTCAAACAAACCCTCAGATTGTAAGTAATTTGGTGCTATATTTTCTTGTACCGGCTCCATCAGTTTTTGTCTTTCTAGTTTCAGTATATTAAGTTCATGTTTCACCAAATTCAACAATTCCTGTTCCTCCCATTTTAGCTCTAGCTCCTCCGATTCCTCTTTAATATGCATTTTCTTCAGTTCATTGTCCTCCTCAATTGGGGTTTTTTTCGATTCCTCCTCTTTTGAAGGGGTTTCCACTTTCTCCCCTTTTAAAAGGTTTTCCAATTAGACCAGTAATAATATGGGTTGTATTTCAACTTAATCCATTTTAGTAATCCATGCTGTTTCAAGTATGTCGATCAATACGTGGCCTTAGATTTTCATACATTTACTAATAGGATCAATATCAGGAGGAGGAAGTCCTTTTTCAAGGTCGTTTGGTTTGAATCTGGAGATTTCATTTTGTTTTTCGAATCTTCCACCGGCATAATCGTGAAATGCAATTCCATCACAACCTATTTTATTTCTGATTTCCTCAATTTCATTCTTGATTTCTTCCTTGATTTTCTTGATTCTTTCCTTCTTTTCTTTTGTCATTTTTTTCTTTTTTTCTTCTTTTGCTTTCTCATATTCATTCCTTACATCACCGTATTTTTGAACTATATCCCACGTTACTTTCGCGTATTTTTCCTTAGCTGCCTTGTAATCTGTCTCTTTCTGATGGTATGCTTTTTTATAATTTTTCAGTACATCATTGTCTTCATTTTCATCAATGAAATAATGATCTCTCCTTATTTCCTCGTATTCAATCTTTCTTATCTCGTAATTGATTATAGCTATGTTTTCCTCGCTTTCATTCTTTCTTCTATTGCGCTCTCTGTTTATTATCTTCGTTTGTTCGTCATACTTTACCCAATCCACACTACGGTATTCGTCAATTTTCTTCTTTTCTTCCTCGCATTTATTCAATTCATTCTCGTAGTGTTCTTTGATTTCTGTAATTGCTTGCTTGTATTTTTCCTTCATTTCCATCGAATCGCTATTTTTGTATTTTTCCGTTATTTCTTTTTTCTTATCATTTATGTACACTCACCTACAATAAATATCCGACCATCTGACGATCATTTTAATAATTGGGAAACTTATACCTCACGCAGTTCAAAATTTTATTAATCAAACCGGGACTGGTGCATTAAGTAAACATGTTTTTAAAGTCAATTTGAATATAAACTTAAAGTTTCGTCGAGTTTGCATTATTAATAAATTTAGGATGAAAATTTTAAATTAGGCAAAAAATTTCGTGGTTTTTATGAAAACTTTGAGCTTAGTAAAAAGGTTCAAAACTCTGTTGAATCATGAATTATGTCATTAAGTAAGTCCACTTAAAATACCTTGAATTATAAATGGTTAAAATTTGAGAAAATTTGATCAAGTATAGACAACGAAACGTAAAGCCTTAAAATTTGCATTTTGTCAACTTTATTAAGTGTTTTATATGATAAAATTACGGGGTGGTCGGATACTTTTTTAAACCCTTTTCATAAACTAATTTATGCTGACACCGTATTGTAAATATATGTAATCTGTTACGTTAAACACGTTTTATTAAGGTAATAATATACATTACAACAAAAAAATTTGACCTTTTATTACATGTAAAAATTCAATCGGAAATTTTCTTTTTTGGATGATTTGTTAAATATTTCCATTAATACCATACCGAACTGTTTGAAATTTTCGTAATATAGAGTTTTGATATCAAATATGAGTTTACTTAGTATAGCAGAAAAGGTTTTATTTAAGAAAACGTACTTTATTTAGCAAGTACTTTTTTCATTTGACGTTACACAGCACAAGTGGTCGGATATTTTTTGTAGGGGAGTGTATGTTTCTTTTGCTTCTTGGTATTTTTTCCTTGTCTCAGTCTCTAATTTTTTCTCCACTATTTTCACATATTCTTTCTCTGCTTTAGAAATTGTTTTCATATTGTTATTCAAATAATTTTTCACTTCTTTTTTTATATCATCCGCAATTTTAGTACTATTTGTTTCGTTATGATCTTTCTCCTTTTCATCCCTGTTTTTTTTTATTGCTTTATCCTTTTTCATCATTACCTCCTCATATGTTCTCTTCTTTTCCTTGTATTCATTCTTTATTTTTTCGTACTCGTATTCCTCCTTTTTTTCATTGTACTTATTCCTGTCTGCCCATTTATCCTTTTTCATTGCATTATCGCAATCTTTCTTTGCCTGATCGTACTCATCCAATGCATATTTCATTTCATATTCCTTTATTTTCTTGTATTCTCCCATTATTTCCTTGTATTCTTTCTTTTTTTTCTCGCAGTCACTTTTCATCTCCTCCTTTTCAACCCCTTCTTCTAATTCTTCGTATTTATCCTTTATTTCATTGTATTCTTTCTTTTTATTTTCATATTCTTCACCAAATTCTTTCTGATTTTCCTCGTATTTTCTTTTTATATTTTCGTATTCAGTCTTCTTTGCCACATTTCTACTCTCTTCTTTTTCCTTGGTCTTTTCATCTTCTTTTATTTTTTCAGATTCGTCATTTATTTTCTCGTATTCGTGATTTATTTCCTCGTATTCTTTATTTTTTTTCACATATTCATTCCACTTTTCCTTGCATGCATTCTTTTTTTCCTCGCACTCAATTTCCATCTCCTTCTTTTCATCACTCCCTTTTTCTAGTCCACCATCCACCACCTCGTGTCCATTCTCAATTTCACGTTTTTCTTCTTCTTTTCATTCTTCTTTTCATTCTCCTTTTCATTCTCCTTTATTTTATCATAATTGCTCATTATTTCTTCATATTTTTTCTTTATTTCATTGTGCTCTTTAGTTTCTTTATCCTTTGTTTTCTCATTTTCTTTTTTCATTATATAATTGTATTTTTTTCTTGTTTCAATGTATTCTTTCTTTATATACTTGTATTCATTCTCGTATGCATTCTTTTCTTTCTTGACTACACTTTCATCAAATTCAAGTTCAACAAAGTACATGGATTCTTGAACAGGCATAACGTAGTAATATTGCTTAGACTTGAATTTCTTAGTATTTGCTTCTTTATTTTTTTTTGCATTTTTTGGACTTGGACCTGTAAATTCATCTAATTCAGTAATCTCATCCTCATCATTAACCTTTGAACTACTTGTTGCTACCGCATTTTCTAATACCGGACTGTCGTTTGCTGATGTATTTTCTTCTGTGATTTTTTTGTAAACATAAACATAATTACCCGTAGAATCAACTAAATATTTTTCCAATTTTTTAGGATTTATAATACTACTACCATCATACTTATCCTCATTTATATTAAAACTTTTAACATTATAAATATCCGTAATGCCAACTTGTGCATAAACCTTTATTTTATCTTCAGCCTCTTCTTGATTATTATTTTCAGAAACTTCTTTGTCTTTATTTTTATAAATGTATTTAACTATTCCTTGATTAGAAAAGAATGATACAACCGAACGAGTTAAAACTGTGGTAAGAATAGTGTTGAATACTGTACTAATAACTGGAGGAGTACAAAACCAGTAATACTCAAAAAAAATTTGGCCTAAAGAAAGGGCAGCGGTAAGGAAGAAAGTTTTTTTACGAATAAAACCTTGGTAATACCTCTTTTCATTCTCTGTAAGATTAATAGGACCTTTTATGAAAACCCTTTTATCCGTTGTATTAAATGTATTTCTAAATTAGGAAAGTAATATGAGGTAATTATATAAAGAACCAATTTCCATCTACTACTGAGAGTGAGTAAATCAATTTTCAAAAAAATAAAAATAAAAAGCGAAAATGAACAAATTATTCAACATTTTCTTTTTCTTATTCATTTTCCCAATTGTCATTAACTCACAATCATGTGATGATTATATTAATTATAATTTAACGGTTTTCTTCAACACATACACAGTTACATTAAATAATACCTTCAGGAACCAATTTGATCGTACCTCCAACCAAGTTGTTATGGGAGACACTTCCACCCTAAAAATCGAGGGTTTCAGTAATAACACCTTCATAAAAGAAGGTAGTAAAATTAAAGTTACTACTTTCTATAATGGTACTGATATTGATTATAGCATCGCAGATTTCTGTTCAACCTTCACCGTAATATGTTTACTTGAAAATAACAATTATGAAGATTATAATATTACTACTACTACTACAACTCCACCTTTCATTAATAATCCCCATTACTCTTACAATTTCAATTATGCACAAACCACTTTCATTTCCCGCACAACTGCTAATATGATTGATGCTGAATTTCAACAACTTATTATTGGTATATTCTCATTTTATCATTTGTTTATTTGTTAACTTTATTTTCATTTACTAATATAATTAACAATTATTATTTAGTTGCTGATCCTGATGACAATACAATAGGGTGCACAAATATGAATTTTACCGTTATTAGTCTTCCTGCAAAAAAGCCAAAAATTCCAAAGCCAAAAGTGTAAAATTTTTTTTAAATTTTTTTTTCTTCCATGTATTTATAATAATTTTTTTCATTTAATATAATCATTTTCCATTCAATTCTAATGCGTCAAAAAGAATCAATTCATACATATTAGCTTAAAAAAATTATTTTTTGTTAGTTTTACTACTATATAGATTTTAATTTTTTTAAAAAAAACGCAATAAAATCGATATAACCAAATATGCTGATTTCAGAATGTGATTGCAATTATTTGTGTACAAACCCCAAAATTTTAACGAATATTAGTTTATTTATAAAACTTTAATTCAATGGTTTGTTTATCTTACGATCCATGTATGGTTGGTTACCTTTCTTAACTTTTGTTATCTTACGATCCATGTGATCGTGAATCATCTTTTCTTGACTTCGACTGCTTGGAAAACTTGAACATTTTGGAGTTTATCGTGATGGATTGAAAATTTTAATGTAAAATGTTTATTGCTATATATAATAAATGTATATTAATATGCGCGGATTTTTTAGCATCTTTATCATATATTCCAACACATGTAAATGTTGACAACAAAATTCAACCAAAGAATATGTTTTTTTTGAAAACATGAAATCCGTTCGGCCAAAGAAATGCATCAAAGGACGAACATTTCCCTTCTTACTATAGAACATAGCCTTCAAAAGCTTAGAAAAACAGGTAACATGGAACCCTTGCACATTCTTTTGGTCAACATGTTTGTTATAACTCTGCCTAACAACCCGTCAACTTTCCAGGAAAAAGTATAATATATCAATTACTTCTATTTGGAGACATATGAAAAAAAAGGGATATACCTATTGGAACTCCCATGCTGGCAAGTCAACACATCGAAGCACGAAAAGCATGAGCACAAGCCCATATCAACACTAATTGGGACAAACCAATATTCACAGATGAAACAGCTTTCAATCTTTTAGAAACAAAGTTAGTAGATGGCACAAAGATGGAAACAGACTAATCCGAGATTTGCCAAAAGTACGTCAAAAGGTAATGGCATGGGGTGGAATCTCATTAAAATGCAAAACTCTTTTATTTTGTTTTGCCGACATCATGGATGGGACCCTTATTGTGTGAATACTTTGCAAACATAGCTTCTACCTGTTGCAAAGAACTTATGTGGTAGAGGCTGTCATTTGTAACATGACAATGATCCTAGGTGCACTTCACGTGTTCCAAAGGAATTCTTTATTCAAAATGAAATTCAGGTCATGGAGTTGGTCATCCAATAGTCCCGACTTAAATCCTATTGAAAATGTGTGGAGTATCGTAAAAAATAATGTTGAAAAGCATATGCCACAAAATATTGAAAAATCCCTTAAGTGACAATCAAAATTTCATTAATTCTATGAAAAAATAGGTGTGAACTAATTTTAGAAAATAATGGTGATACTGAATTTTTTTTATTTAATAAAGTATATTATGAACTTTTTAATTATAATTATCTTTTGTGATTGCTGAGCTATGGAACTTTTTGTCACTGCCATTATTTTAATTACACATTGTATATATTTTATTCTTTGATCCAATCATTCATCCATTTCCTAACACTGTCCATAACATTCTTGACATTCTCTTCATTATAATCTTTAAATTTAGTTGTTAATGCTTTTTTAGATTTTTTGTAACAAATATCACATTCATCTTTAAAATCCTTCATCATCACCACTTCCAAATAAATCAATGCAATAATTGTACATAATTTCACTTTTTGCTGCATATCATCTTTATTTTCAAAATTATTTTCAAAGTTGAATTCATCCAATGAATTCTTTCCAAAAAATTCAAAAAATTCATTTTTAGGTTGAAATTTGCCATCAAATGATTGAAGTGACAAAAATGTTAATAGTGTTTCAATATTGGGTTTTTCATGTTCTTTTATTTCTTTCTTGGTCGTCACCTTTTTCATCACATCCTCTCTTTCTTTTTGATTTTGATTTTGATCATTATTAATATCGTTAGAAGAAGGAAGTGGAGACCGTAAATTTTTTCTTCCTACATAACAAATGTTTTCAATTATATGTTATAGGTAAATATCATTTTTAATATATAAGTAAATAAATACCAATCCCCCGCGGTAAAATGCCAGTCTTGATCTTGTTATTTTTATTCCTTGCTACTACACAACATTTTTTTATATAATAAATTAAATGTTAATTTCAATATATTTTAAAATCATTTTAATGTGTAAGTAAATAAATAAATACCAGGAGAAAAATATAGTTGCTGTTGAGGTGCCTGATATGATACTATACAACATTTTTTAATAATAAATTATGTTAAATATATTTTAAAATAGCCTTTAATATGTAATTAGATAAATAAATACCGGGAGAACAAAGCTGTTGCTGTTGAGATGCTACACAACATTTTTTAACAATAAATTATGTTAAATATATTTTAAAATAGCTTTTAATATGTAAGTAAATAAATAAATACCAGGAAAATAAAACTGTTGCTTTTGAAGTAACTGATACTGTTGCATTTGATGTGCCAGATACTGTTGCCGTTGCTGTTGAAGTAAAGGATACTGTTGCATTTGATGTACCAGATACTGTTGCTGTTGCTGTTGAGGTAACTGATACTGTTGCATTTGATGTGCCTGATGTGATACTATACAACATTTTTTTTTTAATATAATAAATTTTATGTTAACGTCAATATGGATAAATATCATTTCTGATGTGTAAGCAAATATATAAATACCAAAAGGTTTTTCGTAATGCATTATGTTAAATGCTGATGTTGGGGTTATAGCATAAGGATTAGTACTAGTTCTAAGACCATAATTCCATCCAGACATCTGTGATGATGCTTTATTTGGAACATGTCTAACTTCTGGTGGCCACTGGGAAATTGATTCTTTTGATTGTTCATCAATTGCAATAAAACTAATAATTATAATAATATTATTATTTTATATATTAATTTACAAGAAAAAAAATTATCATTATTATTTGTTGTTTGCTTATACCTTGTATATTTTGAGATTATATTATATTTTATTCCCAAGTTAACAATATAATCTTTAAATATATAATCAGGAATAGTTTTATCTTTAGATTTAGGATGTTTATTAATAAATGATCTGTTTTCTTCCAAATCTTGTATAAGTTTCCTGGCAGCCAGTGTATGAATTTTTGATCCAGTCAAGGTTACATGATCTATTGGTATATTAAGTTTCATTGGCCCATCTGAAGATTTAGCAGTCAAGATAATTTCATTTGATGGTTGAACACCTTTTGATAAAATACAATAAACTGTAAACCTAACACCTGGATAAATTTCTGGTATTTTATAAGGTGCTTGTTGTAATTTAACATGATCCAATAATTTTTCAATATCTTTTTTAGGTTTTTCTGGTTTTTCTGGTTTTTTTATTGTTTTACTATAAAAACTAATTATGGATTTATTTTTCTTTTCCCCTTCTTCTTCAGCTCCTTCTACTTCAAACAAATAATCAAAGAGTTTATTTTCATCTTCATCTTGTTTGTCATAACTTGTTGTCCATTTGATTTTATAATCATTGATGGGTGGTTTAACAGCATTTTTCAACATTCCCAAAATTTTCTTGTCCATTCTTTCTTTATTAGTAACAAATTCTGCATACCCATTACCAGATCTAGCAACTGACTCCACTAAATGATGTGAAACACTATCACCAATACCCAATGTAAAAATTCTTAAATCATTGTTTTTATCTTCAACATTTTGATCAATCAATTCAATGATTTTATCAACTCCCCCAACTTCACCATCTGTCCA